CGGTCGGACGGAGCTGTTTTTCGCGAGAACGTGCGCGATCACGTGCGTGCGCGCGATCCGCCGAGCGTGCGGCGCGTCGAGCCGCTCGTTCTCGCGCGAGTGTCGGGAATGGGTTCTCCACCGCATGTTCCCGTGCTCCGTCCTCGTCGCTCGCACGCTCGGGCTTCTCTCTTTCTCGTTTGATGATCCCTTCCTACGTTCGTTGCGTCTTTCTCTCTTCATTTTTCTGTCTCGCTTGCTCGCATTTCTGTTTCCATCACGTTTCTCGTCTCCTTTTCTCTCTCTTTCTCTCTCTCTCTCTTTCCCTTAGGACGGCTCTTTCGTTCTCTCCCTAGTAAAGCCGCTTACGCGAGTAGAGCGCTCACCTGTGAGGTAAGTAAAATCGGCGTTCCGTCGTACGTATTACGACATTGCACGACTTGCTTCCACGAGGAAGGGATGTGAAGAGGGTAGGGGGTAAAGAGGGGAAGAGAGAGAAAGAGCGGGAGGTAGAGGCCTTTGGAAAGGCAGGGAAGTGACTGGAGGTGGCCGATGAGGGAGAAGGGGACACACCAGGAGGGTGAACGAGATGGTAGGGAGGGAGGGAGGGAGGGAGGGGGAGGGAAACGAGAAGAATTAAGCGAACGGATCGGAGGTGAGTTCCCGAAGATGGAAGGGGTTGCTGCAGCAGCGCAGCGGGGAGAAGAGAAGCGCGAGATATCGGGGAAAGCCGGAGGTGAGCTCCGACGTCGTCGTGGAGGATCGCGTTCGGTAGGGATAAAACGTGGACCGACCTGACGTGGTCGGTCGCTGCAGTTGCAGTGGGGGGTTAAATCGCGTAAGTGCTGGTGGGGGTCGCGCGCCGCGCGAGTGGACCAACTGGGTTCGCCAGCAACACGCGGTTCATTGACCGACAAGTGCTGGGAGAGCCGAACGTACGACGAACAACACACATACGCGAACGGGCTTTCTTTCTCTCCCTCTCTCTCTCTCTCTCTCTCTCTCTCTCTTTCTCTTTTTTTTCTTTTCTTTCTGGGCCCGCTACTAAAACAGAATTCGCATCGGCACTTCATCCGCTGGGTCTCTTAGAGACAAGCACGTCAAAGAGAAGGTAGTGAGAGTGTCCGTTGAGGGTGACAAAGGACGAATTAGTGATGCGCGCCTCGCTGAATCGTCTGGAGGAGCGCTCAATTGCTTAAGTAACTTCGACACGAAAAGACAAGAGAGATTATCATCAATAGACACCTGAAGGACGAGCTCGTATCGTTGGAGAGATTTCATAAGAGCTTTTAAAACACGTGACGGAGCGTCTTTTAAAAATAATGACACGATTCTATTAATAGTAATTATTTACAACGTGAAAGCGCGAGAGAGCGTGACTTTTAAATCAATAAAAAAACAAAAAAAAAAAACAACCATAAATCGAGAGATTTCTTGAACAATGAATCACTAGCTAAAACGTGCGCTAAAAGTTTGTCCGTTACACCTTCAACGGAACGGCATCGAGAATATAAAAACCAATGATTGCCATATCGTTAGTTGTAATCCCGTGTTCCGAACATGGTGAGCAGCGCATTGCTACTGATTGTGAACCACGGCGCGGCGCGGTTCGATGACTTATTTCCACGACCAGCGCAACGACTGCGCGTTTCCTGATCGAGAAAGAGAGTAGAGCCTTCGTCGGAGACGCGCGGCCGCGAGCGTTTACGAGAAAGGGATGAAGTCCGGCGTAACTAACTTCGCGCTGAGAGACTACCGTCATCATCGTCGTCGTCGTCGTCGTCGTCGTCGTCGTCGGTGTGGTCGCGCAATACGGCGCACACTTGTCGGGAAAGGAGATGCGCGGGCTTCGCGGTATGTATAATGAACCTGGGAAACCGGTTACATTCGCGCGCGCGCGTGAGCGCACGTACAGATCGATTCGCTCTTTCTCTCTCTCTCTCTCTCTCTCTCTCTCTCTCTCTCTCTCTCTCTCTCTCTCTCTCTCTCTCTCTCTTTTTCTCTC